TCCGAAGTGTCGGGCTCTTTGTTTGTTGAGTGCCGGGCAGTGGCACAACAGATGCTTTGGTGTCTCCTGCTCGCTTGGTTACTTTCAGCTTCTGCATTGTTGGTTGTAGGGTAGACCCATCGTACAGGCTTGCGTGCCTATTGGCCGGTGATGGTTGCCGTTACCCTCTTGATGTCCTTTTTGCTCTTGGAGATCAGTTCTGCGGTTCGCTTCCTATTGAATTTTGACCAGCATAGTTTCGATCTTCTATGCTCTGCCTTCGTCGACCATTCCTTGCTGGCTAATTGTTTGAAATGGTCATGAATTTCCGTCTGGACCGAGTTCAGGGAGATCTGGATATCTGTTGTTACTGAGTGTTCTTCTGACCCTTTTCTGGCCAGCTCGTCGGCTTTCTCGTTTCCCTCTATGTCATTGTGTCCGGGTACCCAGGTTATTTGTACCCTGTTGTCTTCTGCAAGTCTGTTTAGTGCCCCTTTACATTTGGCCACTAGTTTTGAAGTCGTCCGTGCTTGTGCGAGGGATTCGATCGCCGCCTGGCTATGTGAGTATATCCTCACCTTGGTATTCCGGAGGCCTCGGTCTAGCGAAAGTTCGGCAGCTTTCAGTATCGCGAGAACCTCCGCCTGGAAAACCGTCGCTGACTCTTCCACCTTCCAGCTTTCGACGAAGATTCCGGCCCCTACCCCGCCGCTCATCTTTGAGCCGTCGGTGTAGAGTGATACTTCATCCGGTTCGGTTACTCTCCCTCTCTTCCAGTCTTACCTTGTAGGGTATATAGTGGTGTATGTGTTACCGAATCGCAGTTCGGTTGTCATGTAGTCAGTGTCTACTGTCGTCCGATAGTTTATCTCGTTCAGAATCCTGCAGTGTCCGGTGTGGTAGTCTTTCCAGCTTTGACTAGCCTTTAGTCGTACCGCACTTTGTGCTGCAGTGTTCCTGATGAAATGCTCTATCGGTATTATGTTCAGGATGGCGTTCAGCGCCGCTGCGGGGCATGATCTCAATCTCAGTGCTCCCGTGGCTCCTGCACATGCCGATCTCTGTATCCTTGTTAGTTTCTAGACGTTGTATGCCCTAGTTAATGCTGGCCACCATACTAGTACTCTGTATGTGAGTATGGGTCTTACCACCGCTGTGTAAAGCCATATTATTATCCTGGGGTGGATGCCCCAGTTCTTTCCGAACATCTTCCTGGAGGAATAGAATGCTATGCTTGCATTCTTGACTCTCTCGTTGATGTTTTGTTTCCATAAGAGTTTCGCATCCAGTATCACTCCCAGATACTTTGCCTGCTGTGATATCTCTAGTTCTATGCCATCTATCTTTGGCTTTGTGAAGCTGGGGTCTTTAGTTCTCCTAGTGAAGAGCATTCCATTTCCATTTCCAGTTCCATTTTACTTGGATTTATGCCCAATCCTCAGGCTTTTGCCCATGCATTGAGTTTCGTGAGTGCCCTTGTCATTAGTTCGCTGATGACGTCGGGGAATGGTCCTGAAGTGAGCAGGACTACGTCGTCTGCTTATGCTACCACTTTTACTCCTTCGCTATTTAATGTTCTTAGTATGTCGTCCATGTTTATCAGCCAGAGCAGTGGGGACAGGACTCCCCCTTGAGGTGTGCCCCTCTTCACAAATCTTGTGTGATGAGTGCCACTCAGTTCGGCTGTTATCCTCCTGCTCGTCAGCATTGCGCCAATCCATGCCCTGATTCCTCCTTATACTCCTATACCGTTGAGGGAGCTCAGGATGGAATCCGCATTGACGTTATTAAAGGCTCCTTCTATGTTCAGGAAGGTGGCCATGGCGTAGTTTTTGAAAATTAGAGCCTTTTCTATGTATCGCACTACCTCGTGTAGTGCTGTTTCAGTGGATCGGCCTTTCCTGTACGCATGTTGCGCATTGGAAAGTTTTTTCTCCGTTCTTTCTCTGATGTGGATATCAATGATCCATTCCAGTGTTTTCATTAGAAAAGAGGTAAGGCTTATCGGCCTATAATCCTTGGCTTGGATGTATCCCCTTCTTCCTGGTTTTGGTATGAAGACTACCCTCGCTTCCTTCCATGGAAGTGGTATGTGTGCTGTTTTAATGCATGCCTGGAAGATTGCTTGCAGCCATTTTCCCGTGCTTGCTCTTGTTGTTTGTAGCATTGCTGGTATTACTCCGTCTGGACCCGGGCTTTTGTATTTGTCGAAGGAATCTATCGCCCAATGGATTCTTTCCATGGTGATGATCTCTTCTACTTGTAGCTGCTGGACTGCCCCCTGGCTTTCCAGTATTTTGGGTTCTTCTTTTTGGTTTCCTGGGAAGTGCGTATTCAGCAGGATTTTCAGTGACTCTTCAGCCGACGTACTTATTGCCCCGTTTGTTTATGAGCGTGAGGCTTGTGTGCCCTCTCGCTGCGGTTTTGCTTAGCCTCGCCGTGTCTTTGATTCCTTCAAGCGATTCACAGTAACTCCAAGATTCCTTCTTGGCTACGTAGATTGCCCTTTTGTATTCTTTGTGTATTGCTTTGTACGGCTCACAGTGCCTTTTCTCATTTAGCGTTGCTAAAATCACATCTTTTGAACCAAATAAGGTAATCGAATAATTTAAACGGCATTGGACAGATAATTGTTTTAAAATGTATATATGTACTGCATAATGTACCACGCCCACAAATGCACCTTTTTAAAGGGTATCAAAGTGAAAAAATTTTTTTTTCAATGAAAACAATTTTTAAAAAATATTTTTTATTTACTTTTTATGTTTATTTTTATGTATTTGCTCAAATAAAAATAATTTAAAAACTTAAAAAAAAAAAAATTAATTTAAAGTGTAACCGCCACGCGCTACAGTTAGTATATTTCTTGGAATGTATGAAATTGTGTCGGTATTTTGGTATATTTAACTCTGAGTAGTTTTGGTTTATGTCGTTGCAGAAAAAGGTGAAAAAATGGACACCTGGCAGGTAGCGATTTACCTGTACAAGCCCAAACCAATGTGCCGTTTTTTTGAGTTAATTAACAGTTTATGAATGTATCTATCATTTAAAGTAAAAACCATGACCATTGGTTTTATGGTTTTTGTGTAATATTACCTGAAAGTCGACCAATTTACCTATTTTTTTGGTATGATGCAAAAAACGAAAAAAAGTTAAACTTTGAATGTTCATATCTTCTACAAAAATAATCTTAAAATAGATTTTTTTGCAGATTCCGAATCCTTGGGAAATTTTCTGTCGAATAAATATGGGTAAAATCGTTTTTGCGAACATGACTTTTTCGATTTTTGCAACGCTAATTGTTCGAGAGGCGGTACTGTGCGGCTGTCAGTTCCGTAACTTGGCTTTTCGAACTTTCTTTCTGAGCTCGCATAGCAGAGAGCGGCAGCAAACCACCGGATCAACCGGACCACCGGATAAACACCGAGTATTTTTGACACCCGAGTTATTTTTCGGCAACGAGAATAGGGTGCGAGTAAACGACAATAATTCTCGTATATTTGTGCACACAAGCGTAGTTCGTCTGCGAATCTTATTTTGATTCGGTTAGTGTGTTGAAGTTGAGCGAGAAATGCTCGAAAGAGAAGTGAGTAAGAGCGAGAACACAATACTCGAGCCAAAATCAACACCTGGTGACTAGATGCTCTCGTTCATTTTTGTGATTCCTTTTGCAACCTGCTACAACCAAAATACATTAAAGTAAATTAAAAATACAGTATACATTTCCTGATTTCTTGTTCTTTTAATAAACCAAAAATAATAACATACATATGGTACATAGTTCAGTCTATATTCCCTTTCAGTTTCAATTTGATATTTTAGTTCTTATAATTTCATTACATTTTTTTGTTTAATTTCTTCTTCTTTTTCATTTGTTCTGTTCTTAAAATTCGGAAATATTCATATCGTCGTGGACACAAAGTAAAAAAATTAAGTTAAGGAACGTTTAGTTATGTGTGTGAGTGCCACCGGCACCGAGCAACGAAAAGCACCGGGTGTAAAATGCATAAAAACAATCGCTGAAAACGTAATCGGGTGCTTGGTAGACATGCCACCCGTTATACTCTTGCAAGTTTATGTATGTGCGACTCGTTTACTTTATTTGCCGGTGGTAAGAAGCACCGGCACCAAAATTTTGACGAGTGTGAATAGAGTTGTCAAAAGAGGTTGCCGTTCTCTGTCGCATAGCTTTTTGTTCCACCATGGTGGGTATGTCTTCTTAGAGTATGTTAGTCTGCATGACTCTTTGTAGGCTTTGTTCAGAATATTTGTGAAGTCCTCGACTTCCTTATCTATTCCTTCCGGGGTGGATCGAGGGTTTCGCTTCGGCGCCGTTTCACATATCGGCATCACGATTTTGAAGAATATGTACCTGTGGTTTGAAAACGAGTCTTGTGTAGAGACTCTCAAATTTCTTACCTTATAATCGCTATGCTCCATTTGGAGGGTTATATCTATGACTTCTTCCCTGCCCTGAAATCCTTTCGTAGTTGGAAAGATGAAGGTGGGCGTGTTTCCCTTGTTACAAATGGTGACGTCACGACATATAATACTATCGAAAAGAGACTCACCCGTTTTGTTTGTCTCCTTACTTCCCCACAGTGTGTGCCTTGCGTTGGCATCGCACCCGAGGATGAGCGTCGTCTTAGTCTCCTCGGCCCACTGCATCACCCTATTGAACGCTTCAGGTGGTGCAGGTTTGTCGTGGGCCATATATCCAGAGGCTATTAGTATGGCTGTCCCATCCGCCGCCTTGAATCTGAGATCACCGGCCACCGGCTGAGATTGGGGTAGAGAAGAGCATTAAGGTTTTTTTTTAATGATTATACCCGCCCTCGGCCTACCTATCGAGTTTGTGTAAAATGTTGTGTATCCTTTTATGGCCATGCCAGAGATTCGTCCGTCCCTTGTCCATGGCTCTTCTATAAGGCCGATGTCGATGTCCTTCTCCCGGATAAGGACCGCCAGATTAGCTGAAGCGTGGGAGCTGCGCTTCAGGTTTATCTGAACGACCGTTGGCATTAGATCGGAGTGGTGTTGGGGGTGCTGTCGTCGATTGCCAAATCGTCCAGCAGCTTATTGGGGTCCTCGACTTCGTCTTCCAGAATATCGTCCGGTTCATCTAGGAAGATCTTTACGTTAGCCTTCCTGATGCCGTACCGCACTTTATTGTCTGCTGCCTTAGGCTGTTCTAGGCAGCGCTGGTTTATCAGGAACAGGTATGGCTGACTGGACTTCTTTTCCCCTTCCGCTTTGAGGATGGCCCAGTCCTTCATATCGACTTTCTTGTTCATCGCTCGCAGAGTCTTGAGCACCCTTTCATGGCTAGGCAGCCCCTTGGGTAACCAAATGCTCTGGGTCTCCTTGGGATGTCCCTGGAGGGGACCAGCTTTATGCTTATCCCCTTCCATGCGTTGCCTAGTCTGGCAATGCAGTCCGCCAGGAAGTCCTACGAGAACTCACCGTCGCACCTGATTACCTCTAACCATTGCCGAGGAGTCAAAGGAGGGTGACCGTACCGATGGCTCGGTCAGTATCTTTTTTGTTACCATCTTTGCCAACTGGGTCTCGACCTCCTCCCATTTCTCCATCAGAAGGCGCCAATCGTCGTTGAGCTCATCAACAAGTGCTATAGCGAGGCTATCTCGGGCCACCTCACTGAACTTTTTCGCCGGCTTGACAAAAGTGGTCGGTCTCGGTGCGCCCTTTGTGTCCTTGGCTCTCTTCGGAGCACTCTCGCTCACCTCTTGTGAGCGGTTGCGCATCGTTTAGGGAGGCAAAAGCACTTCTGGGTGCTCCTTTTCGTATAGCTCGTATTCCTCGATCACTGCGAGGTACCTGGCTTTGTCTGCTAGGTCGCGCGGATCGGCTTTGCCCTCCTTTTCATTCCTTGCTATTTCGGCGAGGATGAAATGGGCCTTGCTTGCTTGCGCCTTTCGTTGCTGGTTGGTCCACGGTTTTGTCTTCCCGTGTTCGCCCGTCGCTTTGGCTTGACTTGGCTTGACTTGTCGTTGGTTGTGTCGCTTGAGGTGTGCTGGTCTTTGCACTTCCCTCTGAAATGGACGGAGCCAGAGTCTCATCATCTGAGCGCAGTAGCTCCTCCTCGCCCAATTCACTCTCCGTCGATGGTTGTTGGGGTTTTACCTCCCCCACAAGGTCCGAAGCGGATTTTTTGGTCGAATTCATGTTAATAAACGCCCGCGTTTCTCGGCAGGACGAGCGCGGCGGGCCCGAGGGGTTTGGGGCGTTGAAGTAAGGTCGACCGTGGCTTCGCCCCTAAGCCACGGCAAGGCTCGTTCCGACCCAGGGTTGCCCGGCTCTGGGAAGGTTCCGTTCGAACACAGCTGGTTGGACCCCTCAGCTGCGAACCTTATAGTCTTGAGGGGAGGCAGTTTCAAGACTTGCCCATGTCTTGGTAGGGATTGGGAGTCAGAGGAGGAGGTGCCGCTTGCATTGGCCGTACCGTAGTACGTTTCCATGAGGTTCCACGCGGAGGACCTTCTCCGAGGAGAAGGTGGTGTCTATCAGACCGATATTCACCTGCGAGTCGACTTGGTGTTCCATTTGAGCCAAGGAATATTCATCAACAGTTGCCCTGCTGACTTTGCCTTAGATTGGCGCACCCTTACCACCCCTTAGCTTGTAAATTAAACGCGTTTTTACGCATACTGAATGAAACTTCTTCAAGTCAAGGAATATTTTTATTTTTATTTGTTACTTAATTTTAATTTTTTTTTTTTTTCATTTAGGGTAAGGTGGGGTAAAGCCGACAGTGTGGGTAAACCCGACCTCCCTCTGTTTTCGAAAATCGGAAGCACTACGCAAAATAATATTAGTGTTGTCGTGTAGAGCATCGAAAACAATGAAAATGGTGGTATGACACCATTTTATTAGACAACATTGAGATGGTCAAACGACGACAAGTTTGTTTTCACAATTTTGACTTTCATTTTTGTGCATAATTAACTGCAGGATATTTCTTTTTGTCAAAGTTATCGCATGAAAAGGTAAGTGGATTTAGATTCTCTGAATAAAGTCCTACAAAGTGCATATAAGTTTGGTTCATTTTTTTTCATAATTTCTTTTTTAATTGCGTTTTTATGAAAAATTACGTCGTGGGGCAAATCCGACCTCTAAATAGTGGGGTAAATCCTGCCGCAAAAAAGCCAAAAAAACAACAATCACACAAAAACCATCAACATCGCAGCCAACCAGACGTTCAACTCGAACCAAAAACGCCAGCAAGCTATTTGAGCAGCGAATCAGATGATACTGATTAATTATTTTGCTATTTTCATTTTTTTAATTCTATTATCTTTTATTACAATTATATAACATAACTTTGATTGATATATCATTGCAAAACCTATATTTAGGTTATATCTGTACTAAATCAACCAAAAACATAGGCGGTCGGGTTTACCCCATCATTTTTGAACATAGCAAAAATGAACTTTTTCGTAAAACGCTTGTATCTCAAAACTTTTCAAAGGTATGAATAAAATGCTATGCATAGAAAGTTGCGCAAAGGTCTAACCTTTAATTTGGTATATATAACGACTTGATCCGATGTAAAATAAGCATTTTATAGCCAAAACCATTTACTAGGTCGGCTTTACCCCACCTTACCCTACTTATTAAATTTACCCACTTTATGTTAATTTTATTGTTACCTCTATACATCTAAAAATACTGATTTTGAAAAAATTCTATACACCGCCGGCCGACGACAAATTTGACGGCTCAGCTACCGCCGCCGCCGCCGGTTCTTTCTGACCACTACGCCGCCGCCGCCGGTTCTTTCTGACTACTACGCCGCCGCCGCCGAGTCATTTAGACCTCTACGACGCCGCTGATGCCTTTAACCATCGGCGTAAACCTCTACAGACGGGAGCAGCAGAGCACCGTCAGTGCGTGCGAGCCTAACCTTGTTGGCCAGAGCTAAGGCACGTGGTTTTGCTAGCAGGCAAAGCAGATTCCAATTGGAGGCATAGCATAGTCGCTGGTTGCTGTGCGCAGAAGACGAAGAAGATCGCTACCAAGAGCGGTATACACAGAAAGAAGCGAGACAGCAAGAGACGCAGACCGAAACAGGGTTGCCACAGGTTTTGAAATACAGTCTGGTGCATCAGTGCAAATTTACTATTGCTATTGTTTACAATTTTATCAAAAGAAATTAGAGTTAAAACACTTTGTCATCATATTAACTGTAATTTTCAGCAGGTTACATTGATAAAATGGAGGAAAGCGAGATCTTGGCATTGCGAGTGGAAGAATTGAGACGGAAGTTGTCAGAGCTGCAGTTGAATACAAACGGATTGAAAGCTGAACTACAACAACGATTGCTAACTCATTATGGGTTGATAGATGAGGGTGAGGCCGCTGAGTTTAAGTCAACATCTTCTACACCGATTAATAACCCCAACAGGGCAGGTAGACAGCATGGCCAAGAAGTGCAGGGTCAGTCTAGATCATGGTTTACTTTGAAAGACGTCGAAGGAAGTGTTTCTCAGTTTTCAGGCGTACGTGTTCCCAATATAAGTTTGTGGATTGAAGAGTTAGAAGATTGTGCGGCTACCGTAGAATGGACTCCACTGCAGCAGTTTGTTTATGCAAAACAATTACTGAGTGGAGCAGCAAAAATGTTTGTGCGTACCCAGAGAGACATTAATGACTGGGAAAGTTTAAAGTCAGCGCTGTTGCAGGAGTTTGGAGTGAAGATACCTACAGCCGAGATTCATCGCAGGTTGAGATAACGTCGTCAGTATAAGGGAGAATCCTTGCAGGAGTATCTCTATGCCTTAATGGAGATAGCTAAACCTATACGTTTGGAGGATGAAAGTCTGATTGAGTAGTTCGTGGAAGGAATTCCAGCTGCAAGGTCAAATAAATCAATGTTGTATCAGGGTAGAAACAGGCAGTTTAAAGCAACCCAAAAAGCAAGAAGCGCATATAAGTCAGACACTTCTTAGAGCGGTAAGGCAGGAATTGAATTCATTAAAAAAAAGACAACGGATTCTGTGAGGAAATGTTTCAGGTGTGGAGATTCGTCACATACGAAAATTGTCCAGTGGAAGAGAAATGTTACAAATGTAATCGGCCAGGACAGCGCATTGCGGAGCAGAGGCTGAAGACAAAACTGAGGAGGGAACAAATGTGGTTCAAGCAGAGAAAGTAATGCCAAAGCAAGCTCGTGAACCAGTTGCTTGCGATCTTGAGCTGAAATCTGTTTTTTGCTCAAATATTGAATTTAAAGGGCTTACCCATACAGGATCAGAGATTTGCCTAATGCGTAGGCGTGTATTTTTAAAACTTGGCGTAGGCGTAGGCAGTTTGATGGGCAGGCAAAGAGTTTTGACAGGAATTGGGGAAAGTCAGGTGCTGACTTTCGGCAGTCTCAAAGCGCCAGTCAGTATCGACGGCATTGAAATGTAGATTGAATTCCACGTAATTCCAGATGAAGATATTAAGTGCGATGCAATTTTAGGGACAACAATTTTGGAGAATGTCGACATGATGGTCACGAAGAAAGGAACTGTGTTTTCGAAAAGAGTGCAGTGCATCCAATAAGACAAGGCCAAGATAACAGAGAGTTCCGGCATGCAGTTAATGAATGAATTTGATAGTCTTTGCATGTTAAGGGTTAGGGTTGGAATTGGATCATTTAGGTGTCGCTGCAGAAGTAGAGTTGTTGGTGAAGAATTACAATCCGAAGAGGAATAAAAGTTCGCCAATGGAAATGAAGATTTTGTTGACAGATGAATTGCCAGTATATAAACATCCGAGGCGTTTGGCCTATTGCGATCAAAAGATAGTTGATGGTCAGGTCGAAGAATGGCTTAAGGAAGGTATAAGTAAACCAAGTACGTTAGAGTTTGCTTCGCCAGTTGACAAGAAGACAAGACAAGAAGAATGGTAAGAGGCGTTTGTGCTGCGACTACCGCAAATTGAATGAGAAACTGCAAGGTGGAGAGATTTTCACAGCACTGGATTTGACAAATGAATTCTTTCATGTTTCTGTGTCACCAGAATCTCAGAAGTACACTTGGTTTGTTACCATGAGTGGGCAGTACGAGTTCATGTTTGTACCTTTCGGTATCACAAATTCTCCAGCAGTGTTTACCAGGTTTATAATGGCTGTCCTACGGGATTTGATAAAAAACGACTATGCAGTAGTGTACATGGATGATGTGATCATTGCTAGCAAGAATGTAGAACAGGGCGTGCAGAAGTTAGGGCGAGTTTTGAAAGTGGCAGAAGAGAACGGTTTGCGTATAAATTGGAGCAAGTGTCAGTTATTCAAGAAGAGAGTACATTTCCTTGTATAGATTGTAGAAAATGGTACAATCAAACCAGGTGAGGAGAAAACTAGAGCGGTGGCTGATTTTCCGATTCCTCGTGATAAAAAGAGAATACAACGATTTTTAGGATTGACGTAGTATTTTCGAAGGTTCGTAGAAAACTACGCAGGTATTGCAAAGCCATTGTCTGATTTGTTGCGTATGGAAAAAGTTTGAGTTTTGGAATTTCTAATTAGTTTATTAGAATTTAACAACACCGAGAACTTGGTGGCAAGAAATAATTTTTAATTTGTTAGGCGAACAACGAGAACGAAAATAGATGCGTGTATTCGATTTTACTTCAATTTTCGATTATAATTCTTCTTCACATAGTTCTATGCTTAGAGCCTAGCTTAAACGAAGGGGGCGAAGACGGGGCGAATTCGCAAAGAGCGATAGAGAGCTTTATTATGCTCCCGCCTTCGCCCTTACACTCTACTACAAAATACAAATTTAGTCTCAACTGATTCAACAAGTTTAAAGAAATACAAGTAGAAGCTTTTGAAAAATTAAAGGCTGCGTTAAACAGTGGGTCCGTTCTAAAACTGTATGACCCTTCACTTCAAACGGAAATTCATACCGACACTTTAAAATTCGGATTTGGAGCCGTATTACTTCAGAAAGGCAGAGAAGATAGTTTGTGGCACCCAATTTTCTACATGAGTCGAAAGACCAAAGACCAAAGACGTATGAACTTGAACTTCTTCCAGTTATTGGAGCTTTGATGAAGTGGCGAGTTTACGTTATCGGGAAAAGATTCAAAAATGTCACAGACTGCAACGCTTTTGCCATGACTATGAAGAAGAAAAAGATTCCGCTTAGAGTTTCGCATTGGGCAATGTACTTGCAAGACTTCGACTAAGAAATCGTTGACTTCGTCAGATAGCAAGATGAGACATGTGGATGCGTTGAGCAGGGTGTATTGTTTTGTTGTAGAGGATAGCTTAATACATCGCTTAAGAAAAGCACAGCAAACAGATGAATGGACAAGGGCAGTGAAGAGTGTTTTTGAGACAAAACGGTATGAAGATTTTTATATATCCAACGGAATTTTATTCAAGGATCAGAATAAGGAGTTGCTAGTAGTGCCATCGCTTATGGAAGACGAGATAATTCGAAATGCGCATAAGCAAGGTCACTTTTCTTCAAAAAAGACTCAGGAGTTGGTCGAAAAGTCGTATTACATTCAGAAGGCTAAAGTGAAAATAGCACGAATCGTTGAGAGCTGTGTCGAGTGTATCTTAGTGAATTCCAAAGCTGGTAGGCAAGAAGGGTTCCTTACACCAATCGATAAAGGTGACAAGCCGTTGGTTACGTACCATATAGACCATGTTGGCCCGATGGAGTTGACTAAAATGGGCTATAATCACATTCTCGTTATAGTGAATGCCTATTCTAAGTACGTATGGTTATATCCTACACGAAGTACTGGAGTTGAAGAAGTTTTGAGTTGCTTGGAGCGTCAGTCAGTCATTTTTGGTAACCCGTACAGGATCGTATCGGATCGAGGAGCTGCTTTCACTTTACACTTGTTTAAGGAGTATTGCGAAACAGAGAAAATACAGCACTTGCTAATTGCGACAGGAGTTCCCAGAGGTAATGGACAGGTGGAGCGCATGCACAAGATAGTGGTTCCAATGTTATCTAAACTGAGTGAGAAGAGTTCAGGATGCAGGTTGACAAGGTACAACAGACGATTAATATCACTGAGCCCAGAAGTACAAAAGTTTCTTCGTTTAAAATTCTAACAGGCCTTGATATGCCTATTTCCAGTATTTTAGAGTTAAAGGGGTTGATGCAGGAATGTTTAATATCAGAGCTAAACGATGAAAGAGAAAAGTTGCGAGTAAAAGCAAGATAGAATATTCAGCATATTCAAACAGAAAACAAAAGGGCATTTGACTCTAAAAGAAAGGTAGAAAGCAAGTTTGCAGTAAACGATTTAGTAATCGTTGTAAACGCACACAGTATGGAACAGGCTTGAAGGAAAGTACTTAGGTCCTTATAAGGTAGTTAAGATTAATAATCATGGGCGTTATGAGGTTGAAAGAGTCGGACAAGGAGAAGAGCCATATAGAGCCAAGATAGTTGCAGAGTATATGAAACCATTCGGGTCAAATCAATCGTCAGGAAGGCCGAATGTGGGATCCGGTAGTGTTGATGAAGTGGCCAGAGCCACCAGGAGCGGTCTCACCTATTAGTTTCTGGCTCCCTTCTTTAAAATACAAGATAGAAAACTCATTGCAGTGTTAAGCTCTGGCAACTCTTCGTTAAGCAGTCGCCGCCAGAATCTCGCTTCGATCGCACACGTTTTCGAATAAGCACCAATCTATGTTTTGTAAAATTAAGTTACCAGTTAAAAGTCGAATGAAATAAAAAATATCCTAATTTAAAGTCGGTGTTTACTGAAAGAGGACACTGCATCTATATAACACGAAAAGTTGTCAGAAAACCTTGTGAATTCCATAATGATAAAGATAACATGTCTTCCAAAAAACCTTCTAGAACAGTGTTTTCGCATCTGCTATACAATTGAAAAAAATGTTGGGTTTAAGGAGTAGGAGTAAGAGTTGGATATCTTTCGAGTCCCCTTAAAAAAAGGTTGTGTTGTCCATCCTAGCCACAGCACTACTTTATATTAACAAAATAAAATGCATTAGTTGTGAGAAAAATGTGCCGAGGTACACGTGCAATTTTTTTTTTTAATATAGAATTAGTTACAGAAATTATGTTACATTAGATCAAAACCATTGGTCCAGTAGATTTTAAGTTATTGTGCACACCTTTTTGCAGCATCACGGGTTTCTCTTCCTTGCGTGGATTTAACTTTGTGTTGATTTGGTGTCTTTAGCTTCTATAGGTTTAAAGTTGATCAATTAATTGCCAGAAATTCACCATTATCAAAAAAAAAGAAATATATATGTACATACAGAGATATCATGTATCTGTTCTTTTTTTAATCGTTTTATATATATATGGCACGTTTAAATCAACATAAAATCGTATACCATTAATGAAGCCTTTGATTCATATTAAAAAGAAGCTTAACATTTTCATTACTTTGAATTTAATAATGTTCTGTTACTGATGGAAGTAGAACGTCGGCTGATGACTGCCTGTAAAGAGTTAAAACTTATTTACTTTATTGCACATAATTTTTAATAAACTTTTGTATTATACCTGTTTACCACAATATGATATGAACCTGGTGCTGAGTTTGATCGACCTGCACGAACAAATCTTTCTATCCGTGACCCACTTGGCCTCAACGACTTTTCGGAATCACCTTTAACGAATGGATTTCCAAAAGAATGTTTTTTTAACATTGTTTTTATTAATATTAGAGTGTCCAGTTTAGGTATGCTGCGCACAACAGAGTTTATGTCTTCATCATCGACTTGAACCAAACAACAATTTTCTTCCTCAGTTGGCAAGGGAAATAAGCCACCAGAAGTTACCCATTTATTCATCTATGAATGGTAAACATAATGGTATTAAATTCAAGTAAGTGTAATTTTATTTAAGTATACCTTTAACTGCGGAATTGATATTCTATTATTGACATCTTTGTCCAACATTCGAAATATGCAGCTTTTCAAATCTTCTGAGATATGTATATTTTCTGGAAACACAACAGGATCTCGTCTTATTTTATCATACAATAAGGGCACTGATTCAGCTAAAAACGGTACATTTCCAAATATCAACGAATACAGAGTAGCACCTAACGACCAGACGTCAGCTGCTCTTCCACAATATTGGCTCTTTATGTAAGAAATATATTTATAAATATATGATAATATCAAGTAGGTAAACTCTTATTATACCTCCCCTAAAATCAGAGTTTCTGGTGCTCTGAAAGCCGGTGTTCCTGCAGTCGATCCATTACTTATTTTGGCATCATCTCCGAAAAATTCGTTGCACACACCGAGATCTGCTATTTTCACATGCCCAAATTCCGTCAGTAATAGGTTCCCAGGCTTTATGTCGGCATGGATAATTTTTTGGTAATGCACTATTTATTAAGATAGGAAAAATACTTTTATAAATAAAACAAATATGAAATATGGCATAATTTAAAAGCTGATGTATATAATTCGAACTTTTTACGCTTTTGTCAACTTCATTGGAGAGCTTATTTATTTTATTTTTTAACATGCTCTACGGAATTATTAAATATGATATTGTTCACACATACACTAACCAGTACTGCATTTGTGATATCTTCCTCTTGAAACCATCTAATTTAAGTTTCACGTGTCAGTACTTATTCATAATTGCTGCATGTCGAACAAGGCCCCGAAAAGTTTTCATTTCCTTGAAAGTTTGTTTACTGACTGCACTCGTCGTAAAATTAAGGACTCCAATTTTTAAGAAAAGAGAGACCCTTTAATAGCTGGCAATTATAGGAGAATATCCTGCCTAAATTCGTCCTTAAAACTTGTTGCTTACGGAGTTCGGTTTCTGAAAGAATTTGTCTATGGTTGCGTATTTGTTCTCTCTTCAATCGCCAAGACTTAGAGGAGCTGTATTTTCTGTTTAATTTTAAAGCTGTGTGCGACACGATAAAAAGTTACAGCCTTTTCCTAAAACGCGATTTTTTTCTGATAAATGGCAGCCACCTCTCTGAGAAGTTTCCGAATGATACAGGAGTCTAACAGTCCCATCCTGTTTTCCTTATACGTTTTGACGAAGTCACAATACCCTACTCCTGTAAATATTAATGTAAATAATAGTAAGATTTGTTAGTATACATACAGGGAGGTCGTGGCGAGGAAGCCGAGAACAGCGCGCCGCACTCGCCCGGACGCTGTCATTGTCCACGCGAGCGGCAAGTCCTACAGCGAGGTGCTCGCAATGGTTACGAGGAGAGAGGACAAGCAGCTGTCGGACCTGGGACGCTGCGTGTCAAAGGTTCGCCGAACCAACAACGGTAACCTGCTCCTGGAGGTGGCGAAAGGTAGCGCCGAGAGCGCCACGACAATGAGGGAGAGCATCGAGAAGGTACTCGGAGATACAGCGTCGGTGCGCGCAACGACAGAGGACTCAAAAGTCCTCGTCTTGGAGGTGCGCAATATCGAGCCGATCTCGACGAAGCAGGAGGTCTGCGCCGCACTCGCGGGCCAGTTTAACTTCGAGGCGGAGAGGGTGAAAGTGCGGAGCATGCGCCGCAGTTTTGCTGAAACCCAAACTGCGATAATCAGCCTTCCCGTATCCCTTGCCAAAGCCGTCCTCCATAGAGGTGAAGTTCGGATTGGATGGACCATCTGCAGGATCCGGGAACGAAGTGGTCCCGTGAGGTGCTTCAGATGCCTAGAACCTGGGCATATTGCGATCCACTGCAAGGGCCCTGTGGACAGGAGCGGTTGCTGCATTAACTGCGGCGAGCCGGGACACAAGGCGGCTTCGTGCAACAAGGAGCCGTCTTGCTTCATATGCTCTGCGGCCGGAAGGAAGGAGACGAGGCACAAGGCAGGCGCCAGGGGATGTCCAGCCTCGAACAGTGGGTATGCGAATCCCAAGCCTGCATGCAGTTGATTCAACTCAATCTGAATCACTGCAGGGCTGCGCAGGATCTCCTGTCGCAGACGGTGCGGGAGCTGGGCTCGGAGGTGGCAGTCCTGAGCGAACCCTACAGGGTCGGTACCAGCCGCGTCTGGGCCACTGACCGCTCTGGCAAGGCGGCCTTGTGGCTCTGTGGAGCGGATGCTCCGGAGATGTGCGACACCAAAGCAGCGGAAGGCTTTGTCCGTGCGAACGTCGGCGGCACTTGGCTGTACAGCTGCTATCTGGCACCCAGTCTCTCATTGGAGGCGTTCGGCAGGATTCTGGACGAGCTGAGCAGCGATCTGCGTGGGCGGAGCAACGTCGTGGTCGGCGGCGACTTCAACGCCTGGGCCATGGAATGGGGATCCTCCCGGACCAACGCCAGAGGCCGAGCGGTGCTGGAGACCTTCGCCTCTCTGGACGTAGTCCTTCTGAACGAAGGCTCCCGGCAGACCTTCAGCAGGGCCGGGGTGGGCTCGGTAATCGACCTCACCTATGTCAGCAGTGCGCTGGCCAGCCGCGCCCGATGGAAGATCAGCGAGGCCTATACCGCCAGCGACCACGAGGCTATCGAGTGCTCGATAGGCGCCGCGCATCGCACGAGTGGGTCCCTACTCCCGGATAGGAAGGCGTTCCGGCAAGACACCTTCAGGCCGCGGGATTTTGCAAATGCCCTCGAGGGCTTCACGGCAGGCGAAGCAGACGGAGCCAACGAGACGGCCGACAAGCTGGCATGGGCCGTGGACGGCGCTTGCAGCCAAAGCATGCTACTGAGAAGGCCGTTCAGAAAGCACCACTCCCCGGTGTTTTGGTGGAGCGAGGAGATCGCGGACCTGCGCCGTAAATGCCACCGCAGCAGAAGATTGATGCAGCGAGCTAGAGGCACCCCGCGCCTTCTTACGTGCAACGACCGCTACAAGGCAGCAAGAAAGGAGCTTAAGACTGCCATTAAGAACAGCAAACGAGAATGCTTCCTCAAGCTGTGCGACGCCGCCGAGGAGGATCCATGGGGAGGAGCCTACAGAACGGTAGTAAAGAGGCTTAATGCGGGTGGCTGTGCCCCAACCGACCCGGCGACGCTGGAGAGCATAGTTGGCTCCCTGTTCCCGAGCGGTCGGCAGGTCTTGATCTGCCCCAGCACCGAGTTGGGCGACATCCGTTGGGTCACGGAAGCTGAGGTTCTCCTTGCCGGTAGAAGCCTGAAGCCCAAGAAGGCTCCGGGGCCAGACGCGATTCCGAGTAGAGCAACCAAGTTGACTCTATCGCTGCTGACGTCCGAAGTTGCCGGCCTGTTCAACAAGTGCCTTCTGGAGGGGACGTTCCCCGACAGATGGAAAAGGCAACGTCTGCTTCTGCTGCCCAAGCCAGGCAAGCCACCAGGAGAAGCATCGTCCTACAGACCGATCTGCCTGCTGGACTCGATCGGCAAGGTGTTCGAAAGGGTGATCTCAACCCGGCTGAGCCAAGCTATCGAAGCCGCTGGTGGGCTCTCCCCGGAGCAATATGGCTTCACGAAGGGGAAGTCTACGCTGGACGCCATTGTAAAGGTAGTCAAATTGGCGCAGGATGCCATTGCCGGAACCAGGTGGAAAGGAGGAAGCAAGTCCTACTGCCTGGTGGTCACCCTGGACATCAGGAATGCCTTTAACTCGGCAGACTGGAGCGGTACGCTAGAGTCCCTGAGGAACTTTAACGTTCCTGGGTACTTGCTGAACCTAGCTCACAGCTACTTCAGCAACAGGGTACTCATGTTGGACACGAGCATGGGTCCCAAAGAGCACAACGTCTCAGCCGGAGTCCCGCAAGGCTCTGTCCTGGGTCCTCTCCTTTGGAACGCAATGTACGACGGCGTGCTGAGGCTTCCGATGCCAGTCAGCACCAACCTGGTTGGATTTGCGGACGACGTCGCTATAGTGGTGGTAGCAAAGGAGCTAGCATCTGTGGAGGCGCGCGCGGACACGGCCATCCAAGCCGTAGAGTCGTGGCTGGCGGTTGCAGGTCTGGAGTTGGCGGCCCACAAGACGGAAGCGGTCCTAATCTCGAGTCGGAAAGCGGTGGAGACTGCTAGCGTGCTGGTTGGAGGGACAAGGATCCGGTCGCAGAGGGCGATCAAGTACCTGGGCGTCATCATCGACACCCGGCTGTCCTTCAAGGAGCACCTGGAGTACGTCCACCAAAAGGCTAGCGGTACGGCTGGAGCGCTCTCCAGGATGCTGCCGAACACTAGAGGTCCAAGGCAGTACACGAGGAAACTCCTCTCATCGGTGGTGACCGCGCAGATCCTGTATGCGGCACCAGTTTGGGCTGAAGCTATTTCGGTCAAAAGCTACATGCGAGGAGTGGAGGCGACTTACCGGCTATGTGCCATCCGGATCGCATGCTCGTTCCGGACAATTTCGGAGGACGCGGCACTAGTGATCGCAGGGCAAGTCCCACTGACGGAGCTCATTAGGGAGAGGAAGGAATCCGAATCCCTACAGGGCAGGCGATTACCACAGTCCCACGCTGAGGTGAAGCATACGGCTAGAAGAAGGAGCATGGAGAACTGGCAAGCTCGATGGGACTCTTCTCCGAAAGGCCGGTGGACGCACAGGCTCATCCCAGACCTGGTGCCCGGAGTGCGGCTCCGGCATAGTGGAGGATGCGCACCACGTGCTCTTCGAGTGCCGCAGGTTCGGCCTCGAGAGACAGGAACTGGAGGAAGCAGCGGGATCCTCGATTAGCGCCGAAACCTTGGTGCCGAGGATGCTGGAAGACCCAAAAGTTTGGGAAGCGGCAGAAACATTTGCCGCACACGCCATGAAGACCCTCAGAGCGATGGAGCGAAGGCGGAAGGAGCGGCCGGAGTAGGGGCCTCCACGCCCGCGAAGCAATGCCTGGCGGCGGTACCGCACGGCGTGAGCTTCTATTCCCAAGTACCTGTTCCGTCTTGTCCTAGTTGTAACTTTAAGTGTATTATAGTTGATTAGTATTGTAAGATGGAATAAAAATAATTGGAATACAAAAAAAAAAAACAACACACACGCACAACACATACACACAACACATACACACAACACATACACACAACACATACACACAACACATACACACAACACATACACACAACACACATACAACACACACACACCATACCGCGGGCCTTTGCAAGCGAAGCTGGGACGCGGTAAGCCCTGACGGGAAGCAGGCCGAAGCCCACAAGAGGCAAAAGGTCGAAGCTAATGCCCCAGCGCTAGTCGAGAAGCTAGGAGCAATGCTCGACGAAATGATTGCGAAGTTTACCGACACTAAGAGCAACAACAAGAAGGTAGTAATGCACGTCACGCAGGGGACGATCGATTCGATGCAAGCTATGAAGAAGCTGCAGCTCGAAATCGTTGCCGCACTCGCTGACGGCCACATCAAGGGATCCACTACGAGTGCAAGCCAGCAGACCACCCCCACGCTGGCTACCATGAACCCTAGTGC